GGCCTCGGCGGAGAGCCCTGCGCGGGGTCGGCGTCGCTCGGCCGGGGTTTTCTGGGGCCCTGAGCAGGGGCCCTGAGCTTGGCTCCCTGCTGCCGGTACCGCCAGGGCTGCGTTTCTCCTCAGAGCCGTGCGCCTTGTCCTTAGGGGCTGCTGTTAGTCACAGCGTGCTGGGGAGGCGTGTGACGCTCGAGGGCCTCCTGCTTCTCAGCTACCTGTGTAGCCTGGCCGTATGGAATAGCGGGGTCGTTACCGGCTTTGGGTTTCATAAGTATTGCATCAGAGTCGGCAAGGCTGTAACGGGGAAGGTCAGTGATTCACCCAGAAACTCTTCCAGCGTTTGCTGTCTTCTCCGTGTTCTTTTTCTGAAGGTTAAGCAAACGTGTCCTTGCTTTAGCTTCGTGGGCTTGTGTCGTAGCACCAAGAACAGCGTTTGTGCGGGCAGTAAGCTGTGGGCTGCAAGGAGAAAGCATGGATTCGGTGCAGAGCAACACTGCAATGGTGGGAGAGGGTGCTGAGAGATGGGGATGCTACTCTCAAAATATCAGAGCGTGCTCTCTCCCCTCTGCACCTCTCTATGTATTTTTAAGAGCCATAAATTTGATCTTTGCTATGTGACTGGAGCTCACAGCCCAGGAATAGTTTTTCCTCCTGAAATGTGACCATTCTGGAACAAGTACGCGTGGTTTTGCTCCTCACTAGTGTTTTACCAATCTGATTTTGGAGCAAGTGTAACAAGGACTGAATCAATAGTTCCCTGTATCTGTAGGGTTATTTACTATAAAGTTACTTCTGTTGTAGTATTTTTTACATGTCCAAATCTAATATGTGCAACTTTTGGTGTTTTTCTAGATGTGTTGGGGGAAGGACAAGATTATATATTATCGTGATATTTAGGCACACAATTATATGACACTTCTATGTACAAGTAATTAATTTCAATGCATAGGTCAACAGCGTCTTACGTTAAGATAATTGTTAAATGCTCTCTCTTATCCTGTGAATTAGTTGTGCTGCCATTTAATGCTTTATTTCCCAACTATGTGAAGTCTCTACAGTGATTATGGAATTATTAATTTTCTTCTTTCCGTTAATGTCTGTGACACTGGCAAGCATAGTTTTGCTAGACGTTGTGCAAAACTCAAATAGGTGCGCCAAGCTTAGAACAGGCCAACAGCAGTGGTATTGCTCCCACTGCTCTGTCGGGACCATGCTGTTTGTTGGCAAAAGTGTTGAGCAATGTCCATCACTTTGAAAGAACACTCAGCAGTCACTTCGTGCAACAGCAAAATTCATGAGGAGGTATTTTCTCAGTCACTGAGGGTTCGGCCTGCTGTGATAGCAGTTACAGTGGTGCAGGGAGATCTGCCAGGGACAGATGTGTGGCATCTGG